ATCGGGGCTGTACGAAGTCACTTTCATCTTTACGCAGGACTGTAAGTTGTCATCTGTGAGGCGTGTGCGGCGTTTGTTTTTAACATAGTTCACGGTGGAGAACAGCTGCTGACATAATGTGGATCCGAATCCGAATGTGGCCTACCTGGGGTTGAAAGTCTCAATAAATGCACGGCGTTTCGGTGGGTAAACCGGCTTTTGCGAGTGTGACGCTTATTTTGTGCGATGAAAAAATAATAGAATAGAATTTTATTTTTATATTTCAATATCACAATAATCCAATTTTTGCTGAAATCTTATTTTAATAATAATGACCTTAAGGCTCCTTAAGGATACCAATTTGTAATTGGTCTGACATTAATCTTTGTTTGACTGAGAATCATGTTCACACTGGAGAAATCTACAAAACATAATTGCGTAATCATGTATTCAACAGGTGGTGAAGATGATGATTGTGGTGGTATGTACTTTTGCCATCTGCTGGCTGCCCTACCATGTCTACTTCCTGCTGCACCAGTTCTTCCCCGAAATGTTTGAGGAAACATACATCCAGCAGGTCTACCTTGCTATCATGTGGTTGGCCATGAGCTCTACCATGTACAACCCCATCATCTACTGCTGCTTAAATGACAGGTTAGTTAGCACCTCCAAACCATTATGCATGCAACTACTTCACCCACAGGCCATCTTATTAGTTCCACATATCAAATACTGAGGTTTAGAACAGTCTTTATTTTTCCTGTCTTAGGCTCAGCTGTGAGACATTCCTCAAAGATTCTGGTTAAGACTGACATGACAGCATCCGTCTTTTGCTTCAAACTTGTGGACAGCAACCTCATAATGCAATTTTCTTATTCAAGTACATCAAAGATCATTGATTTGGATTGAGATGTGGCTGACAAGAGTAGCACACAGTACGTTCTAAACAGCTTTTGTTTTTTCCATTAATGCCCCGTTAGTCTTGCTCTGAGCCGTTATCTAGCTCAATTGAGATTGAAAACTTAGGATTTTAAGCATCACAGAAGGATCACAGCTCCAAGGGATGGAGTTAAAACTCCTCATGCAACTTAACCAAAAAGTTTGAGAAAATAAGGGAAAAAACAATCAGCCCCCCATGACAATGTAGGCTTTGGATTTTTGCTTCTTTAATGAAGCATCTTCCATTGTCCTCCATTGCTGTAACCTGCTAATTGCCTTTGAGCTTTCAGAGAAATGCGATTTCACACTTGAGTATTTTACCTCCCAAGTCCCAAAAATGAAAATGTGTGGGCTGAGGTGAGGTTTATAGGTTTAGTCACTGGCGGTTTTTGTCTCCCTGAGCTCATATGCATAACCAATGTGAGTGTTTTTTCATCAGTCTCTTTCTTATCGCTCGCTCTCAGCGACAGACATGTTGCCTTTCCCTTCATTCTTCTCTCTCTGTCTGGGCTTCACATTTGGTTGTGTTTGTCTACTGAAGATGTTTCATGTCAGGCTTTTCTCATCTAAATCGCAAAATACTTCCATCGTGTCTTCTGTCAGTGTTTTGATTTATTTTTAGTCTTTTTTTGTAACACCTGCAAATGTGTTAATGAGCAGTAACATTTGGACGTTCACTGCGCATGTGTGTTAAACTGTTACAGTTTTACATCTGCTGTTAGCTTCATGCCCGAAGTGCCATTGACAGATGATCTTTTGATTGTACACACACATGATGTTCTAGTGTCTTTGGCATACAATTGCACCACAGATATAATGTTAATAACTCAGATTTACAGTTTCCTTTACATTTAAAATATCTAGAGCATATGTGTTTCACGGATGGATGTTATTGTTGTACTGTAGTTTACCAGTAAGAAGATGAGGAAGAAATGAACCAGCTGTGTCCTTTAAACCTGCATTAAATGACTTTTTGTTTACTTGGAGGCTGTGCAACAAGCTACACAAATTTCATTATAAAGTTGGAATGAGTAATGTGTCACCGTTCTGTTTACACAACCAGAATCCACAGAGAGCTTCATTAGCTTCTATTTAGAGCTGTTTCTCAGTCCATCTGACCAATTTAGGTCTAATGTTCACTCTCTAACCAACTCCTGTGTGGAAATATCTCTTTAGCTGCTAAATGCTCCACTGAGTTTTTACTGGGGCTTTACAGAGAGGTAACGTTGAATACTTACAACACCAGTTTGACTCTGAGTGTCTCAAGTATAACACCACCCTGCTTACTGTGCTGCCACTGCCTGGCACTGTACTCCTGGCTTCATCCACACACAGAGATCAAACAAAACCAGGCCATTTGCAAACAGTTAGCTGAAGATTAAAAAACTCTGCAGAGCTAAACTGGTGATAGTTTTGTATGTTTGTCATCTTTTTTCATAACTTTCCCAAGTTGTCACTCCTGGTCAGACATTAAAACAAAATAGCAAATTTCTCCCTTAAATTTAACAAGAAGAAATCAACTGCACGGTTGATTAATTCAGCGCTCTTACCTTTAAACCACCATAACCTCACAGTTCACATATAGTGGTTGATGCCAGATAATAGATTTCGGGGGTTTTATTTGTTATTTTTTTCACATTAACATGTTTCAGATTATTAAACACATTTTAATATTAGACAGAGATCACCAGAGTAAAGAATGCAGTTTGTAAATGATGATTTTATTTATGAGGGAATGATAGATGTCAATAAGGGAGAGGGGGCTATCCAGGTTTGAACCCAGGGTTCTCTTGGGGTGAAGCAACAGTGTAAACCTCTGAGTCACCGTGCAGCCAAATTGTCACGGCGGGGTGCGCCGGTGTGAAGAAGAGGTAGACCCAGATGCAGACACGGTGGAGACAGAACTAGGTTTCCAAAAATAAAGCGAGCCTTTATTGTGGCTGATGGCATGACAAAAACACTAGAGAACATTGAAACTGGGAAAACTAAGGAGACCAAGAACACTGTGTAACCTAAAAAGACTATGACACTCTGTGAAAGAACTATGAAGAAACTATGAACACAGAGTAACTAGGCAGGCTATGAAACAGTGACACAATAACGGAAACTATGAAAAGATGAGGTGAGGATAACAGACAATCTGACCCCGACTGAGCAGAAACACACGGATTAAGTACACATAAGGAATGATCAGGGGAAG